GGTATCGGAGGTGGTAGCGGAGGTGGATACGGCGGATTCGCGGGTGGTATTAGCGGACAAGTTGGCGGACCTAGTGGAATTGATGGTGGACTCGGAGGTGGCGGTGGACTCGGAGGTGGCCATGGTGGCGGTGGACTCGGAGGTGGCCATGGTGGCGGTGGACTCGGAGGTGGCCATGGTGGCGGTGGATTCGGAGATGGACATGGCGGTAGTCATGGTGGATATGAAAGCGGCGGCGGTGGATTCGGAGGTGGACATAGCGGCAGTGGTGGTTACGGAGGTGGCGGCCACGGAGGTGGAGGACATGGGGGCGGCAGCGGCGGATATGGAGGCAGCGGTGGATTCGGAGGTGGCAGCCACGGAGGTGGACACAAAGGCGGTGGATATGGTGATTAACTTTTTTTTTTATTAATTTTAAACAATTATCAATAATCAAGAATAATTAGTTTTCCTATTATATTTCTTCAAATGTTTATAATTTACAAAAGCATATATCAATACTTAATCTAAGATTAATGTTCCGTAAATTTTTTTCAGGGCTCGGGGGCTATGGTGGTGGTAAGTTCAAACAGAAAAATTTGTATAAATGTAGAGTGTAAATACATATGTAGATAGTGTAATAATAACTAGAAATTAATACTTAGTGATAATCTAAATATAGTTACGCTTAGTTTTCATTTTACAATGATAGAATAACACGTTTCAAAAATATTACACTAAAAAATTCATTCAGCCTAAAAATAATATAGAAATAAATATAATTAATCAGATAACAATAAAAATAATTTTAAAAAATGGTCTAAAACAAACGGTTTTTATTCTTTGCTTTTTTTTATAACAACAGTAATAATTTTTCGCAATTTAATAAGACCATTTTAATATACAAAGCTTTTTATACGCGCTTTATTTTTTTATATAATTTTTGCGCGTTTTTAGATAGTCACGGTGATGGAGATGGAATTGGCAAAATTAGTGGAGGTGGTTATGGTGGAGGTGGGCCTAGTGCCGGCAGTTACAGTGGAAGTAGTGCCAATGCTGGCAGTTATGGAGGAAGTAGTTCCGGAGGACATGGTGGTGGTGGTCACGGAGGCCATGGTGATAGCTCTGGTAGTGGTGGTGGTGGTAGTAGTGGTGTTGGTGGTGGGTATGGCGGAGCTGGTTCTCATGCAGGAGGTGGTGGCGGTACCGGAGGATACGGTGGAGGTGGCTATGGCAATGATGGTTTGGGAGGTAGGTTCTAATACAGATAATTACGGAGGTGGCTATAAAAGAACATTAAAAAAAATATTTAACTTATTTATGCCATTAAAATCTATTCGATTTAAATATATTTGAAATTATCTTTGTTTTTTAAATTTTATATTTTCGATACACTTTTATTATTTTTACAATCTCTCCAGTAATTTTAAAATTTTAAATTATTCTACATTTCTATACCTTTTCAAGTTTTGAGATATTCTATGTAAATTTTAGTAATAGATGGTGATGGAGGGTGAATTTTGAAAAAGGTACGTTAAAAAAATTGAGCTAATACTAGTGCTGATGAATTAGGTGGACATGGAGGATTTGGCGGTGGTTCTGGCGGATTAGGCGGTGGACATGGAGGATCTTTAGGTGGACATGGAGGAGGTTTAAGTGGTGGATACGGTGGAGGTGGACATGGAGGTGGATTGGGCGGTGGATATGGAGGTGGATTGGGCGGTGGACATGGAGGTGGATTGAGCGGTGGACATGGAGGTAATTACAATAAAAATTTAATGGCTTTGAGAAAATGTTAATTAATAAAGATAAACTAATTAATTGGAGATAAACTAATCATTGGGCCTCATGTTCCAGGTGGATGTGCTAGTGGAGGATGCAGTACTGGTGGTGGCGGATATAGTAACGCTAATGCCCAAGCTAGTGCGAGCGCAAATGCCGGTGCTGGAAGTGGCGGATATGGAGGTCACGGAGGTCTTGGCGGTCACGGACCGGGAGTGGAGTATGTATTACAAATATATATATATATATACGAGTACATATCATAAATCTTAGAAGTATCTCAGGTATTTTCAATCTCAGTTACCCATGACTTGAAAATGATTTATATCGGTGCCTCAATTTTGTTTAAAAGATTAAAAAAATATTCTCTAATTTAACAATCTACTATTATGATTAATATCTCGGTGTTATGATTATAGTCCAAATCACTGGAAGAAAAATAATTATTCGGCAATCGTCTAATGAACATCAGAATTTGGTATATGATGAACTAATCCGCGTTTTCCCAACAGAATAGATTTCAAGGTGAACAAGTTTCTTGCTTGTAAGACGAATGTCTCCTCATAAAATATATTTTGTTCATCATACAATCCATAATACGCAAACTACGTATTTGATGATTATGGAAATCGGCAAAACATGATAATTTATTGAACAAATATATCTTGAACAGACATAAGTCAACGAAGACCCTAATAGCGAATACTAATTGTTATTTCTTTAAGAACTTTACACATTTCATTACACAGAATTTTCAATATTAAAGAGTTTTCCAGTTTTATTAAAAAATATATTTTTTTTTATTTCTATAAAAAAAAATTCTAATATTACTGAAAATATTAAAAGATGAGAAAAATATTAAAAAGAAAAGACATGTCTGAGATTGTCATCTAAAAATTTAAAAGTATTCATTATGTACTTTATTATAACTTTCAAGTCAAAGTATTAAAATCCCTTAATAAGAGACATTAATTTTTTGATAACTGCTTGATTTCATTTGTAGTCTATTCTCCCGTATTGGTGAAGACGGTGGTACCAGCAAGAGCGGTACTGTCGAAGGAGCCAAAGGAGTTTACAGCAGCAGCGCATCTAACATAGACAGTACCGGTAAAGGTACTTATTCCGTTAAAGCTGGTAAAATTCCAGCGTAAATCTCGCGTTTAATTTGCATCTTGATTTCGGAAATTGTTGCTGTGCTAGAGATCTTCCTTACGGCTGAAGATGCATAGCTGTGATTACAAATCTATTTTTACATAAACGTAGTATAATTCAAGGTCTACGGTTTATTTATTTCCAAATCCCGTTAAGCGTGATGTGACGCTTAAAATAAATCCATGAAATTATATAACATTCTTCTGAGTGCTTTATTGACGTTTCCTAATCCTACAAAGAAAAAGCATTTATGTCTTCTATAATTAACGTTAAAATCGATGTCTAAATAACATCGAAAGTATTTCTAACTATTTATTTTCGTATTTCTGAATGATTTAGAAAACCTCTTTAATTTATTAAAATTAAATTAGGTTAAATTAGAGTGATCCACTTTCTTGTTTATTCATTTTTGTAATAAAAAAATTTCATTTTTTCACATCTTATTTAAATGTATTATCTATTATAATAATACATCAAATATGTCATTGTCTAATAAGTCAGAAACTAGCAATTACGGCGTTTAGTCATAAAAATTATATTTCTTTCAAGTTTTTATTTCTAAGTGTAATCAAATGAAACTTTATTGAATCTTAAATTATCTGATTATATAGCGCTTTAAAATCTCTCAATATAAGAATATAAATATGATGAATCATAAATACCGATCAAGTAAAGCATAATACCTGTTATGTTACCTCGCTATATAATACAGCTATCTATGCATTAGCTAATGTTGTTTTTCTAGCCGGGAATACCGGTTTCTCATTAGTTTTTCATTAATGAATGCTCGTCAAATGATGTAATTTATCGTTAATTGCATTGTGTAACTCCGTGATTATAATATAATAGTCTTACGATCAAGACTTGTTTGTGTTCGTCGGGATTACAAATCCGGTTGCATGATGATGATTGATTGGAAATTCTTTTGTTATTTCCTCGTTTTTTTACAATGTATAATTATCCATCTTTAAATCGAGTGTGTTAATACATTTTCTGCACAGTGAGTTTTGTATGTTTCATTTTGTATGTTTTGTACGCCACAGTAGAATTTTCATTATTATTATTATTATAAATTAGTTGAACATAAAATATATGGTGTAATATGATTAAATAAGATAATATTTTCGCAATTAATGTATTGAGAACATGCTCTTTACTTTAAACTGTTATTTAGCTAATTGATGTGCGTAATTACAAATTTTGTACTAGATAATATTTATTTTTATAAGAGTTTTTAAAAAATGATGGTGCTAATTACCAAAGACAGTTATTAGTGATCAACATAATTTATAATTTAAAAAAATGCATCATTTTCTTTTCTTATACGATGCATTCATATATAAATATATGTATAATATCCCAGACAAAGTATCCAAAAGAGAGACATAAGACGTCTTAAAAATGTCTTAAAAATGTCTCAATATGTTGTCTGGGATGAAATCAGTGAAGAATTAGTCAATACATCACTGTGAGTGATGATGCGTATTTAGCTTAAAATACTCAGTATCTACAATCACTCATGAATAATTCATATATAGTAACTTTTTATATATGTATACACTTTTTATGGGCATACATGATTTTATCTGATCGATGCATGACGCAAACGGTACTCCTGAAAAAAAAGTATAATACGTATATATGTATTTTATCTCACGTATATATCGTTTGACGATTCTATTATTTTTCGCCTTTTTATAATTATACGTAACACGCTATAATTTATGCAATGTATAATAATCAGAGTGGAAAAGTTATTTTTAAAAATTAACTACAGTTATACCGTTATTTAAAAAGATCTGTTTCCTTCACCTTTTAATATTACAACTTTTTCCTTCACCTTTTAATATTACAACATGATCAACTTAATTATGTTTTGTTAAAATATTAATCGAAGTAATAATAAAGTAATAAAAAATTTTTATCTTAAATTCGCAAAACTACAAAAAGTTTAAAAAGAAAGATTTTTTAATGCTTAATCAATAAATACTAAAAAATATAAATAAAATGTTCGATTTTTACTAAATTTAGAAATACAATAAAATTTATGCCTCTTTTTACCTTTGATCTTATGTTCCAAAATTTGTGACGCTTTGCGTCGAATGTAATTTTTATGTAGTTGAATGTGGAGTAGTAGATCTACAGGGCATGAGAGAAACCTAAATCAATCATATTCAATCGGTATACTGGCTATCTGTTTTGCCGACTTGGCGTCTATTATGTGCCGTAGTCCGAACTCCGAAGAAAGGTTAAAATTGTTTTGAATTTAGACGACTCACGAAAAGAGATCAATTGTTCGTATTATTTGCAAAGGTATGCAGAATAGTGATGACTCGTGTTTTGTTGTTAAATGAAAAAAATTACTGAACATAGCGTTATATAAACAATGTTTTTTAAATGCGATTATTTATTTTTTTTGTAACGCATAATTTCTTCAAGGTATTAAATATTATGTTTGTGCATTGACAGATGAGTAGAAAGGAAGCATTATCTCAATTTATACAACAAATTCATGGTCGACCTGTTGTTGTAAAACTGAACAGCGGCGTCGATTACAGAGGTAGACATTTATTAACAATATTAACAATATTAACGTATATTAATAAATACTTACTTTTAATATTGATATGTAGTAACATTTAGTAAATTGTTTATATATCAAAAGTCTAGAATTGCGTCTTAAGAGTCAATTGTTTTTATCTATATCAATGTGTTTTTAATGTAATTATTGAATATTACTGTGTATTAGTGATTATTATTTTGAATCTTAAATCGATATTTATAATTAGTTCTTATACTTAAGACCGTTTTTAGTAGTCTTTAGTAGTCTTAAGATGTCATAAATCAATCACAGGTTGGTATTCATACTTGATTCTTATATTTAAGTACAATCTTAAAAATAAATTTTAAGATATCATGAATCAATCAGAGGTTGGTAGTCAGTTCTTATTTTAAAACTGTTTTAATATATGTTTTAAGCTGCTAATATGGCTTTCTGATTGGTTCATAATATCTTAATACTGTAATTAAGATGGTCTTAAATAGAAGAATTAATTATGAGAACCAGAAAGTGTAACATCTTAAGATATCACTTAAGATTGTCTTGAAATAAGAACAAGTTATTAATATTGGCTTTTAAAATACTTTTCTTTTAAAACACTCCATATCCTAATACTATGCATTGTTTGCAGGTGTACTAGCTTGTATAGATGGCTACATGAACATAGCACTTGAACAAACGGAAGAGTATGTTAATGGACAATTAAAGGATAAATATGGAGATGCTTTTATACGGGGGAACAATGTGTTGTACATCAGTACACAGAAACGTAGAAATTAATCATGAAATATAAACAACTAAAAACTAAATGTTTATTTAATAAGCATTTGAAAAAATTCATCTTTACATATATCTCTAAATAATTACATTTTGACTTACTTCTAAGTATACAGTTATTCTATTATTCGAGATGAGACATTTTTTATACTGTATAATAAACGTATTTATATGATATCGCAAGATTTTATTTTACTTAAATATGGTCTGTTTCATTCACTGGCTCTTCATTTGATAGTATTGTCTCAGGAACAATCGCTTTATTTGTATTTTCATTAATTTGTGATGGTATACTGTCTACCTGGGATATATTTGTCTCATTATGGATTGTAAGATTATTGCTTTTGTTTAGAGTTTCTACATTCGTATCATCGAACTTTGTTCTCTTAACTTCGTCCTCGCGCTCTTTCTGCCTTTGGAGTCTTCTTTGAATAGCTAATTGTTTGTTCCTCTCGATTTTTTGCTTTAGTTCAACATTCATTTCATTAGCGGTAGTATTTGTATGTGATACTTGTGAATTTTGTGTACCAGTGGACTGCATTAAAAGTTTGTCAAATGCATCCTCATTAGAAGTGCTTGAAGGATCAATAGAAGCCCGTGTTTCAGCTTGCTTTTGTTTCTGAATTTGTTCTGTTATCAGCAAATCGAAGTCATCCAAAGGCGCGCTTTCCTCCTGTTCATTCTCGTCATCTTTATCCATATCATTAATGATCAAATTATCATCCGAGGTAATCATATCCAATCGATATTTCTTGACAAACACCTGCAAATCTTTCTTCGTCCCTAATTGCTCGAGTCTCGTGAGAAAATCATCGAAATGGTACTTGGGAAATAATCGATAGGACCAATGTTCCAGTCTCTTCATGATTCTATCAAGGTCCGTTTTTTCATGTCCCTTGCCGTAGAATTTAAAGCCTTCGAAATACTTTTCGATGGTTTGGATACCATTGGGGCCTGTCAGTCTTTCTGTGTTAAGTTTGGGCACAGGGTTTCTTACTACATGCGACTTGGACTTGGACTTTGATGGATCGATTCTCCTTGCAGTTCCTGTCTCGTTGTCGGAAGTCGCATCCTCCGCTTCTCCGCGGCTGCCACGTTCGTCATCGGATTCTTGGTTCTCGTAATGCTCTATGATATCGTCATCGCCCTCGTAATCTGGAATATCCGCCATGATGATGTGAAGTATCTATTGGTTTAATTTGATCACCGCTTAAGTAGGTTTCTGAAAAAATCATCAAATCATGAGGAAAATCTTAAAATGCAGTAAGATTTCTTAAATCAGTAATAATAACAAAGGATTTGTAGCAATTGACTTCAAAATGACGACTGTGACAAAATCGATGTGAGAGATACAGTTTCTCATATCAAATGATATCAAATCTCTAAATGATTAGTCTTTAAATGAGTAAACAACCTAAAGTACAGGTTAGACTTGTTTGGATACTCAGATTTACAGGTCGTCTTAAAAATCGCTGTCGTCGTGCGATTGGCAACTTCCTCTCCCGTCCTCCATAAATTTATCAAACTGTCCGTCTGACTTTTTCATACGCTCCAAAACCGACACGAGCAACTTCTTATTCAGCCGATCAGTTTGCGTAATCTCTCGCACAACTGACTCGCACTTCGGTTCGTCTTGCGTCCGTTCGCTCTGCAGCTTCCCTAACATGTTACTGTCTCGCTCCATTGGAGTGCCAGGCATCTTCTTCGTTGCTAAATATGCTGTTTGCAGATTGTGGACGATTGTAATCAAAGATAATTACGTGTGAACATGAAATATAAGATATACAAACGAAATATCAGCAGGAAACGTCAAAATACTAACCGACCTCAATTAAGAAATAAAGATGACACGTCGACTGATCGATCTATCGACGACCATTATCTTTGAAGTCGGATCGATTAATCGATTGTTACGTACGGCTCCTTTTTTTTAAACACGCTAATGCCCGTTTCTATCATTGTAATTTAACTTTAATCTCGATTTAAATATAACTCTTCATTTTTTCTAGTTTTAAGAATAACAAAAGAATGAAGAGTAAGTTGGAAATAGTGGCTTTCCCGGCAGTCTAAAGGTTAAAGTTAATCTTATATTATGATGGAACCGGGTTTCAATATCTCCGCTATTAGATAAGGAATTCTAATAATTATTTATAAAGTCATTTGTTCTTTAGCTACACCATGCTATGATAATACACAAGGCATTTATTATAACACATTTTTATATAACTAAAATTGATAATAAGTTACCGAATAATCAATTTCTGGATAGTTAATGTCGATAGTTAATGTAGAGTACTTATGGCTCTGTGTTCTACCTAGGAAGTTAAGCTACATTGATAGAATCACTGAACATAGAAAAACGAATTGATCCGGTTGATTCTAACTTGCTTTTTTAAACTATGAGTCTAAAACGAAAATACATGGAAGAATTGTTAAAAATTATAGATTCGAAACTTTTGTCATTAATAACTTTCGAAGAAGAGAGATTTCCAATAAGCATACTTTATGTATGAAATGTACAAATGGAAAAATTTTGTGAGTAAATTGCGCAAAAATTTTTAAAGTTAAGTATAGCTATATCTCATAACCTTTAAGATTTATAATTAATTTTGACAGATCAAAAATTTAAAAATGTGTTCTAGCAAGAAATATTTAAAACTATTCTAATAATTCTGATTTTGTTTATTTCGAAAATAAAATTTAAAAAATGATTATGAATACGAACTTGATACGAAGATGAAAAATTTTATTCTAAATTTTTTTTATACAAAATTCATAATTATTTTTAAAGTTTTATCAAAAAGTGATAAAATGTTCCATGTGTAAGTAATTAAGTGTTATTATTCAACATGGCATTCTCCTTTGCATTTTCTTTACTCTGTTATTACCAAGAAAAGACAAAAGATTACATATTACAGTACCTATAATACACATAACAAGTGAATGATAAGAACGAGTCAGAAATAGTATTACTCAATATATATTGTGTATATAAGAATTATTTTTGACATTTCTCAACTTTCAAATGAGAATAACAATAAAAATTCAATAAAACTCATTTACATTCGTAATACGCTTACTTTCGTGATAAGGTCATTAGAGCAAATATGCGAAAGAAATATTTCATCACCCTCTTATTGATAATCAGAAATAATCCGTTAAAATGATAAAAGCGCTGTTGTTACAATCACAACTACTATAAAACTTTGAGCAGAATTCGAAATTCTTATTAAAATGGGACAATATAAAATCCACATTTCTCTACATGAAATATAGATCTAATAAAAAAAATAAAAATTTTGAACCTGTTTTAACCTACAGTGCATCATAATTTGAACACTTTATATTCAATCTTTTGCCACGTATTCACGACAACACTTTATCGGATTTGAAATTTTATTTGTAGGAAAATAAATTATAAAATTGCATTTCGGAAAACATAAATTGTTATATAAAATGAGTAAATATGCGAGAACAAATATGAGTCACATATACCTACGCAAGCGATAGATAATATAATATAACAAATAATTATTTCGCATTATCGGCCCTTTTTCTTATAAATATGTCAAATAAGCAACATGTATTAGCACAGTAGCTGTTTTGAGTTTCTACTATCAACAACATTCGATAAAAACATGGATTATAAGATTTAACATTTGATCTTGGCATTTACCGTAGTCTGTATCCTGGCTCATGATTTAGATGATTTAGAACGTAAGTTCAAAAAAAAAGAAATTATTGTCCTATGTACATACTATACATCCAGATTTTTCTCTCATAACCTGATATCATTCAAATCAGACATAAAATAAAACAATAGTAATAATATATGATAATAATAATAATAATATAGTTATTAACAATAAAATACATTATTGTGGCATGTATTTTGCACCAACGTTTTTCAACTATTTTCAATTGGCGACATATTAAATAATGAGTCAAATTTCTCAAGATACATCATTATGTGAACATGCTTCAATGCTCAGCAGATGTTTTATCAGATATCGCTAACATAATATTTAGAAAAAGAAAAATTGTATTTTTTTATATTTTTTTAATTTTTATTTTACTATTTTAATTTTATTGTGCAATGATAATATTGCTTTTGATAAAATTAAAATGAGCATAATATAATTTTGATAACCTTTATAATTTTTTAAAATATTTCTTACCTAACATTTTTCACTCGGTTTTTAGTTATTTCTACGTTCTTTGTTTCTTTGTACCTTTTTAAAAATTTTTGCCGCATACTTAGAAACCCTTTCACATCGTTTTATAAATCCTGATTTTATTGTATGTTTAATTGCGAATAAATATTGTAACATAAACTATTTTGTCTCGTTCAATTTAATGTTGCACGGAAGTATGTATATATAAAATTAAAAAATTATAAGTTTATGTTTCCGTCAAGTATATTATACGATATAATGACTTGTGTTAAAATTATTTTTAAATGAATGTAACGTATTAGTTGATGAATAATATATAATATATTATATTGAATGCTCTTTATCTACCGCGCTTTACTCTCACTTGCCTTAATAATCTTTATTATTCCTATTGATTTCAATAAAAAATAATATTTTGTGAAAATAAATTTCAGTATATAGAAAACTTTACAGATTTGTTTTGATCAGGACATCCATATATTTCATACAATTATTATATTAGTATAGATTATTATTATATTAGTTATACTTTAAATCATAATTACGTGCAATGGATGCGTATTTTTAAAAACACACAAAAATATGTATGTATTTGCAATTACAGCAAACTAACAACATATTAAACAATTGGATTTTGCTGTAAAATTATTTATATATTCCATAAATTATTTGTAAATAAAAAACATAAAGTAATTAATAAAAAAGTATAAGATTTTATATCGATTTTTTTACACGTCAAACCATGAAAAATTAATAATTCTATCAATATTAACAAAAATGTGATAATTTGTAAAATCCTTGATTAAATTATCGGAATTTTTTTTATATCCTGATGCCTTTATTTTGATTAAACCAATAATTTTTAATTTATCAATCGAGAACATAAATTCTTACTAAGAGGTAATTCATTTAATTTCCGAAACATCTTCAGAATTATATGATCTTATTAATAAGAAGTAATAAAGTGGTAGCCATGAACTAAAAAAAATAAAACCTTGACCGAGGATGAAAATGTGATCATTTCCCGTAAATAAAAGCCACACGCCGCACGTGACTGCGAGTATATTATTCGAATCAGAATCTCAGTGATTACGCGAAGAAAACAGGTGTCGCGAGGCCAAGATGTGCCAGGAAACTGATTTATGTCATGTTATATTCAAAAACTAATAAAGCGGCGATCTGAAACTGGAATGACCCAACTGTCCCCCAACTTGTCGAGAGCGCAAATATCTCGAATACGAGTGCGCGTCCAAGAATATTTGATGAAATCGAGAATGTGTCTGTCAGTAATTCCGAATCACTAAAATCTATTTGTCGCATATTCATTAAATAGACATGCTTCGTATTAATTATATTTAATGTTATTACACTTGGCTTTCAATTGATAGATACATATGCGTTTTAGAAGATGTAAACTTTTTAGCCTGAAATTTATAATTTTTTACATGTATATTGAATACTTATATATTTTATGTATGCATACATTATGATTCCAATTTTTTAATATGACATTACAAGTAGAATATTCTACATTTCCAACGCTAATTATAGACTGTATGTCAGTTAATTAATATTTGTTAGTTCTAATATACATACTACTCGTTTTCGTAAGACAAGCCGTATTTCGAAGACAATACCAGAGAAATTGTGGGTTATCGCCATGATCCATTGTTAGCAATATGGATCATGTCACAGCAATAATTCGCAAACCCTCTGGCATCTTTGAGGTAAATATCCGTGGAAGCCTTCGTGAAAAAGTATCAACAAATCGTATTTGCGAACAAAAGTCAGAATTGGACAATCGTAATGTGGATGATATACAATATAATAAGATTAAACAATTTTCCAGTTAAAGGATACAAAAGTGATAAAATGATAATTTCTTTTTCAGTATAATTACCCTTTATTTTAATACATTTTTATATTTCTGCTAGCATTCTATCGACATTTGCAGCAGACATTTTCAAAATCTATTCTCGACGGAATGGCCATGGGAATATAGTTATTGATTTTTATCTACAGACTGAATTATATCAGTTAAAACAAATAAATATGTTTATATATACAATTATCTTGCATGAGTCATTGCATATGCTTATATTTATATTTATGCTTATTTCAATGACGAGAATATATTTTATTCGCGGGCCATCTAATAGTTGGTGATGATACTACCACGTAACATTGAATAATGTGCGTCCGCGAATGTATACAAAATTATTTTATATTACGTATAGCAACACCAACAACTAGATGGCCCACAAATAAAGTATGTTCTCGTTATTGAAATAAACACAAATAGGTATAAATATAAGCAATGTAATGACCCAAGATAATTATGCCATATGTATATATTTATTTTACTATTCGTCTATAAATAAAAATCAACAACCATATCCCCATAGCCAAAACTATCGAGAATAGATTTCGAAAATGTCTGCTGCAAATATCGCCATAGAATGCCAGCAAAAATATGACAAAATACAATGTAGTGAAAGAATTCACAGGAAAAATTGTTCATAAATATCAGTAAAATTTTGTATTCTCATCAATACAAATTTAGCAAAATAAAAGGTATTATTTATAGATTTTTATCAGTTAAGTTTTAAATGTAATTATTTAATTTTATTT